TGAATTCAGAACAGGCTGTTTTTGCAGCTGTATATGGACTGTATGAACTAAGAAGTGAACACTTCTGTGCAGCTTTTGTTTTTTTCACAAGTGACAGTGCTACTAGTGGCACATTGCTTGCAGCAAGAAACTCTATGACCTCCTCTTTCAATTGGAATGTGATTGGTTCCTAGGCGCCTCACGGCTGTAAAAATATGGCGCTTTGAAATCGGATGAATCTTTTTGAATCACCCTTAATAACTGTGAGCTTAAAACTGCGCTTTGTTAATCCTTTCTGCATTGGCTTGAAAGGCCACACTGAGTAGAACCATGAGTACAGCATGGTTTGGCGATGTGGCGCATGGCAGCGCAGTCACCGCTTCTGCTATAAAAGATGGAAAAAAATAGGAACATGACGAAGTGATGCCACAGCCATCCATGGTTAGGAGTCCAGGAGAGCATAATTGGCCTCATTCTGTCTGGGTGGGCAGGATAGCCCTCCCTGCCTCCCCGTCACGCAGCGCAGTGCTAGCCAACACAGGCAACTGTTAGCTGATGTAACAGAATTGGCAGTTAGTGTTCTCCTCCAAGCGTGTTGAGCTGTTAAATGATGTGGCAGCTGGAAAAGTTGTGGTGGCGCTTCATGTGTTTCGGAGGAAGCACATGCAAGCCTTCACCCTCCCGGCTTTTTAGCATTGTGTGATGGGGGAGACCTAGATAGTGAGTCAAATTGGCCATGATTGAACTGGAGCGAGAAAGAAAATACGTACGGTGCTAATGTGCCCGTGATTAACGTGTTCTCATTGCAGTGGTCATTGCAGTCTAACTGAACACCATACCTCTATCATTCCACTGGCCATTGATTGCAACATGCCACTTATAGTGGAACCACTTTTTTGGCGAAAGAATCTGCCAATGTTTAAAGTTTTTCTTCTGTGTTTTACGTTTTTGTTCTACTTTTTACTTTGCAAAACTGTACCATAGAAGCGGTAGAGCACTTGAAGTTGTGTGTTAGTGTACACGCTCTGTCTTGTACTCTGTTGCTTAAAAATGCTACCTTAGTGAAGGCATTATACTTTTGGGGTTACAAAGTAACACAAATTAATTTCACGTTCTGTGATATGTTTATAGTAAACGACAAAGATGATCGAAGACGTTCTAGGCAATACTTGTAACATATGAGACGAGAGTATATCATGTGTCAGATTATTTTAAAGTATGTTTTATAACATGTCAGTCATTGTTGTCAGTGTCTAACAGTACATGCACTGGTCCATAGCATAAAACTTACAATTTTATTTTGTTTTTAGGGCACTTTGCAATGAAATTTTGTCGTTGGAGTGACTGGATCGAGCACCGCCTAGTCAGGAATACAGCAAGGAACGGATTTTTTGCAGTGCCTTAAAAGGTGACCGACAAGGCAGGTGCCCGGTTCACTCACGCCAGAGCCGTTTAAAGGGAGCCTGGCCGCTTCCTATTTCTCCCGTTATATCAGAAACATGACTGCAAATCTCTAAAGGGTGCCCATGAGCGCGTCCTACATGAATGGGGGTGAATGAAGCTAAAAAGTGAAAAAATTAAAAATGAAACTTGTTTGTAATCATTTGTGCAGGAGCTTCCTTTAATTTTGGAAAGTTGAAGGATGTATTTCATTAAAAAAGCAAAGAAAAACCTGTATTTTTCTACAGCAAACGGGTTTTGGGTGGTTAGCATTACTGCTACTGAGTGCTGATTGGTTGGCGTTACTGCTACTGAGTGCTGATTGGTTGGCATTACTGCTACTGAGTGCTGATTGGTTGACATTACTACTACTGAGTGCTGATTGGTTGGCGTTACTGCTACTGAGTGCTGATTGGTTGGCATTACTGCTACTGAGTGCTGATTGGTTAGCACTACTGCTACTGAGTGCTGATTGGTTTGCATTACTACCACTGAGTGCTGATTGGTTGGTATTACTACCACTGAGTGCTGACTGGTTGGCATTACTGCTACTGATAGCTGATTGGTTGGCATTACTGCTACTGAGTGCTGATTGGTTGGTGAGCTCCTCAGGTCATTGGCTAAATGAAGCAGTTCACACTCACTGACATCATGAACCAATATGAGAGGTTAACCTCCTATAACTGCAGTTTAAAAGCGCTCCAAAATATAACAGCAGTGTTGAAATATTTCACACTGTTCTGTGTTCTGAAGTTTTTTGGGATTTTATATCTAAAAATGATTTAAAAGCATTTACAAAATCAGATTTTGCACAAAAGCTCCATAGGAGCCCATTCATTTTGGACTGACTCAGGAGCACCCTGCTGCATCTGACAAACCTGGAATTGAGTGGCAGTTCTCCTCACAGGACATTCTCTGCTCACGTCACCTCCCGAGTGTCCCCTTTCGTCTCGGACCATGGCCGACCAGAGCTCCCTTGCTGCTGTCCTCTGCGCTAGGCAGTGGTCAGTTCGGTTGCTTCAGCATCATGTTCTTCCCCGTTCATTTTTTGCAGTAAATTTTGAAATATGATGCGCAAGTTGTCATTTTAGGGTTTCGTTCAAGCGGCCTAATAAATGTGTACGATCCGTCTGCTTGAGGGAAGTTTTGTGGATGTTTTAAGAAATCTGTATCTCACTGGTATATTAACGAGAAGAATCAGTGTGGCAAAGTCTAGGCTGACACCCCTGATCTCAGGGAGTGTAGGCTGATAGACTCACGTATGACGGGGAATAAAACCATAATCAGCACTTTCCCATTATTACTGTTATCATTGCTGATAACATGCTGTAATTTTATATTAATTTCCAGCAATGGACAAAGTACAGTCTCTCTGTACGTGAGTAAAAGTACAACTGTGCTTGTTTGTGAAGGTACTAAGCACCAAAAGTAAAAGTCTTTGGAGTTTTTGTAGATATAAACAAATAAATGTTTTTCAAGTCTGCATTCTTACAAGTCTCCTCTATACAGTGAGTTCATCACAATAATACTGTACAAGATCTATAATAACTCAGTACATCCTTAAGCGTTAGTTCTACTTTTTACTCAAGCACAAATATACAGTCATTCGTGAAAGTTTTGACGCCCTGGTCAGATTTCATGTTTTCTTAGTTTTACTGCTGATGATTTGATCACTGTTTGTTTGCTGAATTTAACATATTGGGAAAAGAAACAGAACATAAAATGTGGCCTGTGCAAAAGTTACGGCACATTTAAAATTTTAGGGTTTTTTTATAATAATATGTTAAATCTAGCTAATAAATAGAAAGATGTGCACTAAAATTTGAATGGCATATTTGAGTTTGTTCTTTATGGATCCCCTGAGGAGCTGTAGTGTATATTTTTTTGGGTGAGCGCCAGATACTATGTGGTGAACACTAGATACTATTAGATGTGCACCAGATACTATGTGGTGAACACTAGATACTATTAGGTGCGCTCCAGGTACTATGTGGTGAACACTAGATACTATTAGGTGCTCACCAGGTACTATGTGGTGAGCACTGCAGACTATTAGGTGCGCAACAGATACTATGTGGTGAGCACCTGATACTGGCAAGTGAGATACTATCTAGATAGCATCAGGTCAACATTCTATGTGTATCTAGTGTGCACCTGAAAATATCTAGTGCTCACCACATAGTATCTGGTGCACACCAGATGTTTACCTAAAAAATAAAGTACATCACGCTCCTTCAGGGGCTCCGTAGTTCTCTGCAGAGGATGTCAACTTATTTTCACTTAGAAAATCAACAAAACGTGATCTAACTGGGGATATTCAAACTTGCGTATGTGAATGTAGTTAGAATACTTGTACTTTCACTTAAGTGACGTTTTACTAAGAGCATTTCTACTTTTACTCAAGTACAGAATGGCTGTACTTGTTCACCGAAACAGAGAGGTTGTTGTGCCCAAGTGACACCACGTTTGTGTTTGTAAGTAGAAGAAGAGATATTTTACTATGATTTGAATTTAATAAAAAGTTGAAAAGGCTACAAATCTGTGATCTGTCATCATTTTCACTACCAAGTTGCTGTATCTGTGCTGAATTTGGTTACCCTTCTTGTTGGGGTACAGAGCGTGCCGAGCCAGAGCATGTGAGGGGAACAAGTAGGAGAATGGCTGGCCGTGGGTTTGTGTGACCTTGTGAGGCGATAGCGTTTCTGGCACATTCTAGCAGTCAGCCACAACCGCCCATCTGTTTCAGCGATTTTACTTCGGGTGAAGGGTGCTGGGTTTAGCCTACTACCTGTGGTGAAATCATTGTAACGCACAGCCTCATATTGCTTTTATAGGCGTTGAACAACCTAATAAACATAACAGTAATGTAGATCAGTGTAATTCCATCTTCCACAGTCAGATCTGTTACACGTTGAACTTGAGCAACATTACCCATAATTCAGTGTTGCCCTGCTGGACACTGAGTTCTAAAGAAGTTGTGGTGTGACCAATAATTAGCATGAGACGGTGATGCTCGTTATGAATCATTCAAAACATTTAAGCGAAATGAATTAGTCGCTCTTGACTTGACTCAAAACTCGAGACACGTAGGCTGACAGTATCAGGAATGGTATCATAGAATAGAGCCTTGTGTGGATTCATTAAGTGACAATGAATTATTCTACGTAGTGCAATCTGTATATTCACGTCCTTTCTCTCTCACCCATCTCTCTCTCTCTCCCTCCCTCTCTCCTCTCCCCTCTCCATCCCACTCCCTCTCTCCCCCTCCCCTCTCCATCCCACTCTCCCCCTCCCCTCTCCATCCCACTCCCTCTCTCCCCCTCCCCTCTCCATCCCACTCCCTCTCTCCCCCTCCCCGTCTCTCGCTCTCCCCCCTACCTGCCCCTTTCCTCACAGACACTCTTCCCACAGAAGCACTCCAAAATCTTGTGAAGCCCTTCCCTGAAGAGTGGAGGCCGTTACAGCTGGAATGGCCAAAAAGCTCATACAGTAGTCACAGTCAGGTGTCCACATACTTTCGGCCATGTAGTGTGTAGATGGGCTAATGTCCATGAAGTGAGCAGCAGGCGTTTGTAGCTATGGAGAGGTGGAGCCCGGGAGGAGCAAGAGCTGAAATGAGCCGCTGCAGACAGGGCCAGTCCAAAGACTCTCCCCAGGGGGCGAGACCTCGTGACAGCTAGTCGTTTTGGATTATTAAAAAAAAATAGCCAAACTTGTATTACAGACATCACGATCTCTGGTTCCCATCAGCACCACTGTAAAGAAATCTGAGCCTGTACGGCGCACCAGTTCACCTCAAACCACTCTGAGTGACTTCACGTCTCAACGACGTACAGATGCAGAAATTTGGAAAAGTGGATGGATTTAAGGTGGATTGGCCCTTTAAGGCCAATTCTGTGTTGCGCGTTTGTTGCCGCATCGTTTTTTAAAACTTTTTAAATGTTGAACGCTTTGAAATAAATTCTGCCCCTGAATCCGGGCCCTCCCTGCCTTTTCACTCGGGTCAGTTATGGAAGCGAAACTCTCGCTGGGGCTGAAAAAAACCGCTTCCTCTTGATTGAAACACACTTCCGACGGAGAGGGCTGCGCACTCTCGGCTCGGCACTGACGCTCCGCATCGGCTCTCTGAACGCGGCGCCGCGGGGTGTGAAGATGAGGCTCGCGCTGCAGTACTTCTTACTTTATGTTTTCTCATTTCTCGCGAAGGGAAAGGTAGGAACCGTTTTTCATGAGCACTCCTTTTAGCTGACTAATGTTTCGCGGTAACGGGTGATTCATTGCGATAGTTATCTCGCTTTTTGCTGGTGCTCCTCGTTTATGGAGCGGTGAGGCAGCAGCGAGATGAGATGAGATGAGGTCTGTCTGTCTGTCTCTCTGTGTGTGTGTGTGTGTGTGTGTGTGTGTGTGTGTAGGTCTGGACGGTAGGAGTATTTTGGCCTCGTTAACGTTTCCTGACGTTTGACGCCTTTTCCTATTGAGTCCAAGCCTGTTTTCGTGTTGACGCCCTGTGTTTATAATAAGGAGCACCGTTTCCCTCCTTCTCTCACCTCGGCTTTCATTTTCTTTCGAGTTTTCAGTCACCTGATAGAGATGAAAGGCTTTATGTCTGTCTTGTGTAAAACTGCCTTCGACGGTGGAGTTTCTAGAAACTGGCGGTTTAAACCGTAAGAATTAATGATTAATGAGCTGATTAATGCGGTCAGAACGGCCAGGTTTAGCACAGACATGTATGTCGCAACCGCTGAACGAGGGCCGACACGTTTCTTCGCTTTCCTGACAGACATGTAGGCTAACTTGTCGTCCAGGAACTGGTAAAACCGAGAAATGTAATGTGTGCTAACACGCATGTCCACTCATCTCTGCCAAGTTTTGTTTTCGTGCACTCCCTCCCTCGGAGCGAGACTTCAGGACGAGCGGCACGAAACTGACGCTGACTCCTTCCTTGAACTTTCCGTTCCACCTTAAAAAGCTGCCGCTGTTAATACGGGCGCCAGTACAGGCGCCCGTATTAACAGCTGCACCTGTTAAGGTGGAACGGAGAAATTGTGTTGTTCTCAAACGGAAAAGTAATATAAGGAGCCACGAAGGACTGGCAATGTCAACCATGGCTCACACGAGCATTATTATTTATTATTTTTAGTATTTATTATTTTATTATGTTATTATTTTTTTCAATTTTCTAAAACACGTTTTGGTCTGTTTTAAAAATGCTACCTCTAAGTCAGTGGTACCTCTTCCCCCCAAGTTAGCAAAGCCAATGAGTTTATACACATACTGTATATAAGAAAACCTCGTATCTTTGTTTTTGTCGTTTTTCAGTTTTTCATTCTGAAAATGCCTGTTGTCCTTTACATTGTGTGTAAATTTCATGAAGAATGAACCAAAACAAACGGCCCAAAATGACTTGGAAAACTGTCTTACATTAAAAGTAAAGTAGGTTTTTTCCTTCTCCTGTAAAGTTATATATATATATTTATATTTATATTTATATTTATATATATATATATATATATATATATATATATATATATATGTGTGTATATATATATATGTGTGTATATATGTATAGAAAGTGAGGGCTAAAAATAAGTACTGAGTGCTCAGATGTGTTGCAGTTAGTTGCATCTGCTGTCCTGGAAAAGTTCAGTGATAAGGGACCACTGCAGACTTGGTAATTCCTGTAAGGGGATTAGAAACGTCTTTCTTGATAAACTGCTGCTGCTGCTGATCTGGTATTCTTATAAGGTGGTTAGGTGAAGGGCGGAAAGTCAGAAGGTGGCTGGCCGCTTGGAGAGGGGACGATTGTGGTGACACTTCATGCAGAGCGCTGCTCTGCTACGGAAATCTTTCTCGGTCTACCATTGTAGGTCATTTCCCCTAAAGACTTGTCACGATTCTCTCGCTTTGAGGGGAGGCAAAGCGCTTAACATGCTGATGAGGTACATCTGTACATCTCACCACGTAACAGTGGTGGAATAAGTAGCTAAAAGGTATGTTGATGTTACAGAGTTTGGGCTGGGCGATGTAAGTTCAGTATCACAATATTCGTCACATATATCACAGGATCCTTGTGTTCCATGATGTTTAAGTTATCTTTAATAAAGCTGAAGATTGCGTGCCTCCTGGGTTCTGCGTTAAAACAGTCTGACATTAAGTGTTGCGCAAAAGTCAACGACCGTGTACTTGACTTATATTTCACGTATAATTACACCAGGCGTCAACAACTAATGTTAATTTGTTCGGTGTTTTAGTTTATCCAGTTTTTGCCTTTATTACGGCTTCTGTTCTTTTCAAGAGACTCACTATCAGTTTTCCAGAGATCATTTTTTCACACCTCCAGAGTTCAGTCTTTGAAGTTGGTTGCATTTTCTTTTTCTCATGATCCAAGTAATCCTTCCAGACTGGCTTGGTCAGTCCAATATTCTGACATCTCCAGCTGCTTCTTTGTTTGCCAGTTTTCCTCTTTTTTTTAATCTTTGTTTTGACTGTCTCTTTTTTTACGCAAGTACAAAACAGCTCCTGATGGACACACCCATTCATATCAGTTGTTTTGGTGTATTGTGTTTTTATAGATTTTAATTAAGTCTTTTCTTATTTTAGGCTTCCTAGTTTATCTGCTTACCGAAGTGTTTTTAAAGCCATCTTTCATGTCTGGCCTGTTTTAAAAACACTGATAACTCAATCAATGGTCAAATAAACAGTAAAGTGATATAATTGATATAATTGATATTTAGAGCTCTACTTATTCAGCATTTGTACTCAGTCACGCACAGTTCCAGGTTACTCAATAACCGCATTGCACATGATATTGCTATATATATTCCATCTAAAGGGAAGTGTGGGTGCCTTCATTTGCTGTGATGAATTGCTGTTGCTGAGGAAATGGAGTTTACTGCTCTTTTAGCAAGGCCTTCTCAGTGGTATCAGTTCCTGTCCGTTCAGGTCAGCAGCCTTATGTTCATGATCCTTTTTGCTCTGCAGGCGGATTCACTGCCATATCAGAGCGTTGGAGGGGAATGCTTGAACAGTTCCACAGAGTACGTTCCCACGGGCTTGTCCCTGTGCTGCAGCAAATGCAGGCCAGGTAAGAAGTCAACTGAGACAGTCACAGTTACTCGATTAAATTTGATTTTACAAAATCAATAATTAAAAATTACTTTCACAATGATCAGCTGACATAATAATGAATTTATTGCTGCTAATGATCACTGTAATAGAGCCTCATAGACAAATTCATATACCTTTTCCCTATATTTTTATATATAACATGAACCTTTTTAATGATTTTATTTTAATTCTGACATAAGAAATGAAGAACGTTGTAAAGTTACTGTTTTGAATATACTTGTGGTTTTTTTTTTCAGATGACAACAGTATTTGTTAAATACTAAATTATTAAATATTGTAGTTAAATCTTTTTAAATATTTTGTAATTTTTTTGCCCAATAAAATCTTTTAGAATCTTACATAGACGATGCATGGTTTGTTACTATTTAAGTTAGGCTATATGTCCAAAAGTTTGTAGACACCTGTTCTTCCAATATTTCCTCCAAAATCAGGGGTGTTAATAGGGACTTTGTCCCCCTTTGCTGCAGTAACAGCCTCTTTAGGCTCTAGGCTCTCTACACTTTCTAGGAAGGCTTCAGACTAGATGGAACATTGCTGCAAATATTTGGTTGTAATCAGCCATAAGAGCATTAGTGAGTTCAGGTACTGATATTAAATGATCAGTTCTGGGTCATAAACGCTACAACAACTTATCCAAGAGGTATTGGAGCTCCATCATTCCAGAGAAGACAGTTCCACTGCTCCACAGCTTCTGGCTGGGGTGCTGTATACCCCTCTAGCATTGAGTGTGGTGAACTTATCTCATGTGGAGCTTCTTCAGAGCGTCTCATTCTATTAGCACTGATTTTCTATAGAGATTATACAAACCACTGAACACCCGTCACAACAATTGAGCACCATAATGTAGTGGAAGCATTTCTGGATACTGTTGGATAAATAGCATACATCAGTTTTTATTAATTGACTCTAAATTACTCAAATAATCATCAAAATAAGTGATATTTAACTCAGCTTGGTATATTACTTGACTTGGGCATGAAATCAAGAGGTTGCTGTCCTTCAGGTTATGTATGTTCTGAATATTTTCTGTATGTTTGGTGCTGAATGTCTGTCAATACACATAGTTGCTTGCAAATGACCATGTGACCCAGAAAGGAAATCAGTATTTTGATGCTTTTGTTGTTACAGGAACCCGACTGGAGACAGTGTGTACCCATGGCAGGGATACGGTCTGTAAACCGTGTGCAGAGGGAACGTTTTCGGACGCTATGAATTTTTACAAGAATTGCTTCAGCTGTTTAACGTGTTCTGCACGTAGGAAACCTTATTTGTTTAGATCTGTGAATTTACAGTACTGTACAAAAGCCAGAAACCATCCGTCATTTATTTTATCTCCAGGTAAAACAGACTTTAAGTAAAAGTGATTTATTTTTTAGAGGTATTTCTAAGAGATTGGATCGGCTCCACTCATTAAGGGAGGGGAAGGGGTTCAAAATAAGGGTTCTATAGAGTACAGAGAAAATAAAACTCCTAACAGCCGTGCAAGAAATGATAGAGCCACCAGTACTGTCACCATCAGATAAACAGTTCTTAAAGCTTTCATCTTTGAGAGAGAGGAAGAAAATCTAGCTCCACTTCAGAGCTGACAAAATACATAGGTGAGAAAAGAAAATTGCAAATTTAAAGCTGGTGGTCTTCTCTGAACAGTGGATTGGTCATCCCAGAGTCCAGACCTCAACATCACTGAATGTGTTTGGGATTACTTGAATTGTAAGAAGCAGAAAAAATACAACCAACTTTTAAGACTGAACTTTGGAGGTGTGGAAAGATTTGATTAAAGAACTAAAAACAAGTTTCCTGAAAAGAATAGAAGCTGTAATAAAGCAAAGAGTGGACGCAATAAATACCGAAAAACATATTTTGTTGCTGAGACCTTTGTAACATTTTCTGTAGAATTATATTTTTTGCCTTTTCCTGATGCTGAAAAAGTATGACTTGTACTTAAGTGCTGTTTTGTATAGAAATAAAATAAGTGGGTGGTCTCTGATTTTTTGCACAGTACCCTCTTTTTAATGTGCTTCACCAGTGATTGTTTAATGCTGTTGGTTTTGACAGGTAAAGGCCTGCTGTACATCAAGACATGCACCAGCGTCAATAACGCAAAGTGTGAGTGCAAACCTGGGTATTTCTGTTCTATTTATCTTGGTCAACACTGTTCTGAGTGCACAAAGCATAGAAGATGCCCCCCTGGCCAAGGAGCCAAATCACCAGGTAACCTGATCCAATTTTTATGACTAAGTTCATCAGTTTATTGTTGAACTCCTCTTTCTGACAAGCGTTGTGTGTTTTGTGTTGCAGGGACACCTACAGAAAATGTCCAGTGTGTTGCATGTCCTGAGGGAACATTCTCTAATGAAACTAGTTCCCAGCCTTGCAAGCCACACACACAGTAAGTTACACACAAAAAATAAAGAGTACTTTAACACTGAATAATAAAATAAGTCAGTCTGAATTATCGAACTGCATATTGAGCTGCTTTCCCACTTTTATGCATAGCTTTAAGAATATTCAGATATTCCACCTGGCACAATTTGATAAAATCCTTGTGGGATCTATGATTGTGTTGGCCATTTGGTTTACCTCTATGTGCAAAGATGTTTTCTCTTCTCTCAGTGTTGAGAAATGACAGACCATCCAGATTGCCGTCTTGCTTTATGAGGCAGTTTATCGGCAGTACTTTGAAGTCCCAGGGAACAAAGTGTAAAATATTAAAAATGTTTATTTGATAATGAAATTAAGTGTTATAATAAAGTCTTGTCATGTACACACGACCCAAGGTTAGGACCACCCAGTTCATACTGAAAGAGGAGAATTTCAGCAAATCACAGTTTTTAACAGAACGTTTTTTTTGTCCATGTATATTATGAGCCCACAAGCGCAAGATTGAGCTATTTAGAAAGAAAAAACAGGTTTAAGTTCTTTGGGGCTTTAAAACACACTCATTCGCAGGCCTAGCATGAGGGGACAATACCCCCTCAGGTGGAACATAGTGTCCCCTTCTTTTTGTTTTTGCCTACAAAGCAACCCACCCTTCAAACTCTACTCATGGAAATTACATGGGTTTCCCACCTGAGCAAGCCCTTTAGACCTTTAAGTTGCTTTTACCCAATAAGAGCCTTTCAGATGCTGTTCTCACTTTCTCATTTTTTTAAAATGTCTGGCTTAGAATTTTCTGTCAAGCATATAGATATGCATCACTCCAAAAAAGTGAATTTACCACATGAAAAAAGCTAAATGCAGCTTATCTTGTATCCATCAGGTCAGTATTACCAATATCCATTGATTGGGTGAAGATAGTCGTTCCCCCTCAGGAGTTTCTTTTGCCCCCTGAGCTATGTGATCTTGCTGATACGTCTGCTCATTCACTGAACCACGATGGGCAGATAAGTCGGATGATCTGAGATGTTTGTTTGTCATTTAGGTGTGAGGGGAGGGCTGTGTCGCAACATGGAACTTCCACAACAGACAGCAAATGTGGGCCACCTCTGCCTATTGCCTCTCATGATCCTCGCACCATGACCAAGACCCCTCCACCTGTCTCTTCACCTTCAAATCCCACCACCTCACCTTCAAATCCCACCGCCTCACCTTCAACCCCTACTGTTGAGGTCTTCTGCTCTGATTCACAGGCCCCTCCATGCACACACAAGACAACAGCACCGGGTACTAAACAGAACTGGACCTATTGGAGCGGTAAATGACAACTTTCGTACACCTGTGTTGGTAGAAACCAGGAAGCTGATAGCTGTAGCTGTCAACAAAAATATATCTGTAAATCTTGGCATTGTTATTAACTAAACCGTCCAGTCTAAGGCCCAGTCCCATTTCTCATTTTTACCCCTACCCCTTGTTTTCGAGTGTCACCTTGCCCCTTGGAACTGGGTTACAAGGGTTGGTGGTTGAAATCTTCCCCTATGAAATGGGAGCCCCAAATAAAAACAACATTACTTATACAGCTTCTAGCGCTGCTGTGTAGGCGACCCTGCCAGTTTGCAGTGATAGCAGAGGAGGGTAAAGTTCAGCAACCTCACTGCTGGGCTTTAGTTACATTTAGGGCATCGTGTGCCTTCAAAGAGGGTGGATGTGAAAATGATTCATCACCCACCTCTGCTTCTTTGGTAATATTATGCTGAAGTCAGTTTTCTTCACCAGCTTCTCTTTCAGATTTTCCCGTTCCACCTTAAATAGAGCAGCAGTAACATTCTGGCTCTTCAGGCGTCAGCACTGCTGGACTATTTAAGGTGGAATGGGAAATTTGGCTAGCTAGATACCGAGACATTAGCATAGTACTAGTGTTTTTTTTTTTTTTATGCTTGTTATAAAGAAAAGGACCATAACACATTGAAACGACATTAAACTAAAGTAATACAGTGGTTATCATAATTTGTTAATGGAGAAAATACCTACATTTGTGGGTTTCTTTGGTCGCTTTGTTCAGCCGTCTTGCCAGTTTTTCTTTTTTCCTCTTAACACTCTGTTTGGAGGGCCGTGTAGCCCTAACACTTCGCCCTACCCCTCTATCTCAACACAAATCAGGACACCCTACCCTTAGACGTGAACGTGCAAAACGGAGGGCTAAGGGCTAGGTGGTAGGGGCGAGGGGTGAAATGGGATTGGGCCTAAATCTGTATGTGCCTATTCATTGTCCTATTGTTGTAAAATTGTGCTCTCCAGGAACTATGAGTTTTGAAGAAATAAGGATTGTTAAATGATTAAAATAATAAATTAGGTCTGTCGCTATGTAACTCTGGATTACCTGTAAACTGGATACCTGTATGTTCGTCCTACACATTTTTAATACAACTAATTTTACCACTATTTTCAGCATAAAATGCACATTGAAGTTAAATTAAAATATATATATATAATAATTTTGGTCTAAAGACCGTTTGTCAGTAGGAAACACCAGGTTTGAAAGTACTGATATTTCATCAGCCCATTCCTCGTAACCAGTCCTTAAGTTGGCCTAGAATTCGGGCAATTTTTTAATAGCCTTTTTTTAATCCAGAACTCAGACTCTGCAGGTAAATGAACACGTGAAACACAGTCGCACATTTCTGGTGCTTTTTTTTAGCCACACTTGCAATATAAACATTATTTGCTTTTAATGGGCATTTAAAATAGTTCAGTCTTTGTAATCAATTGTTTTGTTTAAATAACAATCAAAGTGTCCATTGAAAGTAAGAGGTAACTGGCTATTTAGCATGATGAGTCATGTATAATGATATTACAATATTTTGGTTTAGGCGTAGGTGTAGCAGCATTGATACAGCGTGAGTGCACTTTCGTTGCGCACGTTATTTCCATATTTGCTATTTATATAAATTGCAACACATCTGCCAAAACAAAAACAAAATTGTCCGATTGCCGATTTCGTCTTTTGAGCAAACATCTGTCGATCTTGGCCGATTTTGTATCCCCATAATAGTAGTAATTAGATTAGAATTAGAATTGCCTTAGATAATTGATAGAGCTTCAGCAACTTGCTATTAGGTGGATTTGCACCTTTTTATGGTATCTGGAAAAATTTTTAGCCATGTTGGCTTATAAGCGTTAGCAATAATGGCTCATAAAAATGCTGTATTCAACAGTTATGCCTGAAAATGCATAGTATTTGTTCTTGACAGACTGTTTCTGAAACTGCTTTATCAACAGCCAGTATTTGTCATAGCTTTGGTAACAGTGACTTTGTTAATGAGATAAGCAGACCAGCTCCTGTCAGCGTTACATACGAGTCTGTTAATAAGTGATTTGTGTTTTTTCCACCCTCCTTTTCCTGCCTCCTTTCCTGTTTCTCCTGGTTCTCTCTCCCTCTCTCTCTCCATCTCTCTCTCTCTCTCTCTCCATCTCTCTCTCTCTCTCTCCATCTCTCTCTCTCTCTCTCTCTCTCTCTCTCTCTCTCTCTCTTGCACTGGGTGTTTGCCAGTTCTAGGTCCTCTTGCTGCTGTCGCAGTGCTGCTGTTTTTGCTGACGATGACTACTTTCGTAATTCGTCACAGGAAAGGTAATGCGTGCAAGATTTTGTATGGCTAGCATGAAAGAATCATCACACCATCTTACCCAGATTACAGTCTGGGGTATTGCGTTATAAAAGATTGTAGATTTCATTTTCAGCTTCTTTTGAACTTTATCTGTCATCAAGCTTTGTATTTTCCCATCCTAATGTGATATTGCACTATACTTTGTTTTGGGTGGATTGATCAGGGAAATCACTTATCAGTTGTGTTTATCTTCATCTGTTCTTTTATTTCCCCACATATAACTTACTGCAGGTTTAACAAAGCAACCAGTCACAGAAGCTGAGGTGAGTTTCTAAAAAGTGCATTTCTAATATAAAAATAGAAATATGGCAGTTTGTCACAAGTACATAGTATGCATAGAATAGTATTTTGATTCTGGTGTAATATACAAATTCATGTATCACCAAGATACACTTTTAGCAAAATGGGTCCTATATAGTACCCAAAAAAGGTTCTGTGACTTGTAACAATAGCAGAACCCTTTTGGTGCTATATAAAACCATTTGTTAAAAGGTTCTTTAAAGCACCATATACTTAAACCAATAACCATTGACTTTGATGAATCCATGAAGAACCTCTTTTAAAGGACGTAAAAAACAAACTAGTATGTACGAGTGTAAATATGCTTTAAGTTCCATAATTTCAGCATTGAAAATAGCTAGCTAGCCAACTGACATGCTTGCTTGTGCTGTTGCAAGAGAATAAGTAGACTTTTCCTTCCTCTTCAAGCTAGTCAAAGGCACATTTCACCACCAAACGCACTGAAGCAGCAGTTTTTTGAAGCTCTGTCTTCCGCTGCTAGTAGCAGACTGAGGAGCAGAACAGCACAGGGCTGAATAATCATTTTTACATTGAAGTCTCAGTTTGAAAGAGTGCGGTTATCCAGTTATTATGCCCTACACTGCTCAAATTTGTTTTAAGTGGGGAAATATAACCTAACAGAGCTTGAGAACTATCAGTTTGACATACAACTTTCAGTGTTCAATCCTCAAGTCTGTAAAAATGAATGTGTTGGTCTTCTTGACAATAAACAGGAAACAAAAACAAATGGGCCTTTAGTTTCATTTGTAGAAAAGAGTCGCATTTAAATCACAATCGCAATATTTTTCAGAAAATTTGCAAATAGATGTTTTGCCCAAATGATCCAGCCCTGGAACAGCATAATCATTTTATTTAAAAATACCTCAAACATGTTTTACCGACATCAAATATTTCATTTCTCTAGTTTTTGTTTCGTTTTGTCAGCCAGGAATAACGTGTAGTCTAGTCTGGGCCACTTATTGCTTAATCTCTCTCTCTCTCTCTCTCTCTCTGTCTGTCTCTGTTTCTCTCTCTCTCTCTCTCTCTCTCTCCTTCTAAGCCTGGACTTGCATCAGACTTGGCCCTTCCCTACAGCAAGACAGAGTGCCAGCATTTGCTAGTGGACAGCAAAACAGACCCCTCCACATCGTCATCGTCATCATCAGACAGCCACAGCCAGAGCACAGGGGCCAGTCAGGACAGCATCCACACAGACCAGCCCGTGGTCTCCAGCCCGTGTGTTAACGTCAGTATCACGGCCACGTTTAACTGCCAGGTGAACCCGACCACAGGCTCCTGCTCCATCCCCATCAGCCCCGTGGTCCAGCCCCAGCCGGTCCAGACCGAACCCCCCCTTTCTCAAGAGGAAGAACTGGGTGTCTCCTGCGAAGAGGAGAACAGCAAAGATGCCTCACAGTCAGTGCAAGAGAGTGGGATGACTATGTTCTGAAGATGAGGGGGAAGTCCGCCGGCTTCTTTATTTCAGTGGCGAGCGTTTGATCCAAGCTTGCGTGTGTGGGGGTTGTTGACGCTCAACTGCTGCATGCTATCTTTATACACTGAGCTGTCTGAGCTTCGGTCTTATCCTTAGCTGGTCAGGCCAAAGACTAAACATCTTGCTGTTTTGTGGCCTCACATGTAGATTGCATATGACCAGACAGCCACATTAGCCACATTGAGTATCATTGTGTCATTGGTAAAGGTGCTGAACAGCAGCCAGCTGCATGCCGTCGTACGACAGAGATAATCTACTATAGATAATCCGAGATTAGTCAGACCGTAGTGCTAATACAGCATTTTCTATCTTGCGTCTTGTCGTTAACACATCTTTGTTATGTCTAACAAAAGGCAGAGCCTGTACTTCAGATGGACTGGCTACAACAAGCAGTTGGTTGAAAATATAACACATAGCTCCATAGTTTTGTCAGTAATGTTGCTGCTTGGGCTGCTGTTGGTGCTTGGCCATCATCAGAACAATATCATATCATTCTTGTCTCAATTAAATACCAAAGCTATGCAGTCTTACACATTATAAGCCCTTTGTTGCACATATCTGAGTATTAGTGCTTTGTTGTTAGAAGTAATTGTTGAACCTGTGGCCTACGAGAGAACAAAGAAAAAAGACTCAGACGTCCTTAAGTAGGCCCTTGTATCAGCCAGCTACGTACACAGTCACACATGCACTTTACTCACACATTAACTCCTCCAGACTTTGTTCTTTCATTGTGTGTCAAAGGGATAGACACACATAGACAACTGACGCCTCCCAGTGGTAGAGAGGTGTAATGACATGTATGTACATTATAACCTTGTCTGCCACCATTTGTAATTAGCAGTGCCCAAATTTGAAGTAACGTTTTAGAAGAAATCTTTTTTTTTTATACTCACTGCACTGTAATGTGTGACATTTTCTGATTTTAATGTTTAAAGACTGGTTTCCTTTTTTATGAAATGCCTTTTATGTGTGCAATTTACATTAGCTGATTTAGCTAATATTCGAGCACACATATATAGAAAATGTACATATATATTTTTATACAAGTGAATATAAGTAAACAGAAATCTGCACATAAATGTGTCTATTTTTTTATTTTTTCAAGATTTTTTTTTGTATAGCCCCAATCAGGATGCTGTGTATGCATTAAAACACATATATTTCAAAGAAATCTGCAGGAATATTTTTCCACACCTCCAAAGTTCAGTCTTAGAAGTTGGGTGAGTTTTCTGATTCTAGTGATCCGTGGGGTGGACTCTGGGGTGGACAGATGGGCCATTTTGTCTGTATCTTTCAAACTTTCTTCTGAACTTATTTTCCTTTGACTTTGTCCTTAGATATACAAGAGGATTGTCTTCTATCGAATCTTTTTAGAGATATCGACGGAAAAATGTACATAATGTCAGTTTTGGCTGGAAATTAAATAAATGAAGGGTGTTTTTTTTTCACCGGACTATAAATAAAATTTCATTACAGAAACATGAAAAAGTCTGCACAATTTCCTCAACAATGGTGCTAAGTTCGGTTTAGTAGTGCAGACAGATTTCGCTCCTGTCAAATTGTAAATGTAAATATCTACTGTTACACCAAAAATTTGCCGGCCTGTTGCTATGGATCCTGATCAGGGCTTTGTGGTGTGTCTCTTATGTCATTTGTTAAGGATTTATGTCAAAAGAATTCAGATGAAGAATACTCTGAATGGAAATTACCGTAGTGTATATAATTTAGACTTGATCATGAAATTAACAGGGTTCTGTTTTCAAACTGGAATGTTGTAGCTTTCAGAGGCTGCCTGATGTTTCCCATCATCCTGGAACCTGAGCAAATCCAGAAGGGGAGGAATTTCACCGCAGCCCTGCTTTTAATGGAGCCGAGTGAAGTGGTAGAGGTTTGAAGGACATCCAGCAGACATGGATCAATACAGGTGTTAACAGAGTTAAAGCATCACACAGAAGCATCTTTTTAGCAGCTGATTAAATATTGATTGCATCTTGTGAGGCGCTTTACCCTCAGAGCTCCCGAGAGCCTTTATTTTGATGATGCAGCGCTTGTATTTTAACTTGTTTCCCAGTCCATGAATTTGTAAGCAGAGGCTTCAGTTGTTTTGATTTGTAGTAGTATTCTTATTAGCGTAAGCAGTTGGTTATATAAATTATACAGAAGCTTGAACAACTGAACATAATATCAATTACTTTAGGTACTTAGCGTGTCCACCCTTTGCCTTCCATAGTATCAGGAGACTGTACCTACCGTCTCAACTTGGAATTGGGTTTGTATGTTTAACACAAAATTACACCCTAAACAACTAAATACATCATCGTTTTTTTTTTTCAGCGTTTTGTATGTCTACCCTTCGTTTTCTGTTGTTTTGGGGAGATTTGCTCTTAGTTTTTCATGGAAATGTACAGGGATATTTTTCCACGCCTTCTAAGTTCAGTCTTAGAAGTTTGTTGTGTTTTGTGCTTCTCACAATGCATTTAATCCCAAACACATTCAGTGATGTCTGAGGTTGCCAGTCCGTTGTTCTGAGAGCTGAAGTACACAGTATATAGACTTGTATGACTCAAGAACTGGTTTGAGGGCCGTGTTTGCACTGTATGTCCAAATATTTGCAGACATCTACAGCATTTCTTCTGAAGTCAAGGGTTTCTTTCCTGGGAAGGCTTAATATTAGATGTTGAAACATATGAGGATTTGATTGCATAGTCAGGTACTGATGTTGGATGATTAGTTTTGGATCACAAGCACCACTTCAGCTCATCTGAAGCGATATTGGATGGAGCTCCATCACTCCCGAGAGCTCCACTGCTCCACAGCCCAATGCTGGGGAGCTTTATATCCCTCAATCTGATGCCTGGCATTGGGCATGGTGACCTTAGGCTCATGTGCAGCTGTTCTGAGTGACCCATTCTATTTGCAATGTTTTATTATGGAGATTAACCAGGCTGTGTCTGAATGCTTGTGTCATTTATGGGTGCACCTGAAAGTAATTCACTACTAAGGAGGTGTTTGGGTACTTTTGGATATGATATAGTGTATCCTGTGGCAGTGTATATGCTTTAGTGAGAAGTAGAGTAGGTACTCTTGAATGTCACCCTACGCACTGGTTAGAATTTGCATACTTCTCTGAAGAACTGCAAACAGTGCTGTGAAATGAAAGCTTCTGAGTAATCAGAAAAGCTGAACGAGCATTCACTTTTGTAGGAAATGGTTTTTTGTGCTGGTAATCAGGTCACCAAATGACAGGAAACTGTAACCCGAGATCACTCAACGCATTGTCTCAGTAGCAGCTGAGGTGAAGACCACAACCCGTTACTTAAAATTGTCATTGAAGTGTTCAATGAGAAAGCTCTGTGCAGAGGTGCTGCACCACATTGACGTGATACGTTGGGAATAGTATGTGGTATAACAAAAACAAACTGCACAATAAAGCATAGAGTATTGTGCAAACGTCAGAAACCACCCTTCATGTATTTAATTCTGGCCTTTAAGTACGAATATTCAATTTACAGCAAAAATAATTAGAAGATACAGATAAAATGGGAGTCCTAACAACCATGCAAGACCTGATAGACCACCAAACTGTCCCCCCATCAGATAAACACCACTTTCATCTTTGACGGAAGCAGACAAAAAGGAATTCAGAAAAGAAGAAATTTACAAACCAAACAGAGATTCTGCTGATGCTCTCAGAACAATGGTTCTCCACTCCAGAGTCCACACCTCGACATCACTGAATGTGTTTGGGATTCCTTGAATCGTGAGAAGCAGAAAATACAACCACCTTCTAAGACTGAACTTTAGAGCTGCAGATTTCTCTGGAAAACTGAAAGCAAATCTCCCAAAAACAATGGAAGCTGCAGTAAAGACAAAGGGTGGAGACGTTAAATAATAATAATATACACATACACATACACACACACACACACACACACACCTTCTGTCCTCCTGGGCCGCAGGGGGAGCTGGAGCCTATCCCAGCAGTCATCAGGTGGAAGGCAGGATATACCTGTGGCAGGTCACCAGTCCATCACAGGGAAGACAGACATATACATTCACTCACACACACACATTCACACCTAGGGGCAATGTAGCATGTCCAATTAGCCTGACTGCATGTCTTTGGACTGTGGGAGGAAACCGGAGTACCCAGAGGAAACCCACACAGACACGGGGAGAACATCCAAACTCCACACAGAAAGGACCCTGGCCACACGGCCGGGGAATCAAACCCAGGGCGCACCATGCCGCCCCCTACTACTACTACTACTACTACTACTACTACAATTTTATTTGATAAGGACCTTTCAAGACACACTTTACAAGGACATTGTACAAAAAAAATCACAAAAATATATCAGCATGCAAAAACAATACACATAATTTAAAAAAAAATCACAATTCTGGTTCACCCAAAAGAGGGGAGACTGTTCCACAGCTTAGGGCCACCAACACTGAATGCCCTACCACCAACAGTACGCAGCTTAGAGGGAGGAACTTAGAGCAAATGTGAGTCAGAGGAGCAAAGAGTGCACGCTGGAGAGTATGACTGAAGCAGACTACCAAGGTAGGAGGAGGGCGGGGCCATTCACAGATTTAAAAACCAGCACAAGCAATTTGTATTGAACGGGTTACTGTACTGGGAGCCAATCAAGTCGTTTCAAAGTTGGACTGATGTGCTCCCCGGATCTAGTGTGGGTAAAAACCCTAGCAGCTGAATTTGCACATATTGCAGCCTATTCAGAACCCAAGCAGGAAGTCCATGTAGCACAGCATTGCAGAAGTCAGTCTAGATGTACTAAATACTGAAATTATACTATACTGAATACTATATTTGGTTGTTTAGTGTGTAATTTTCTGTTAAATATGAAAACCCAATTCCAAAATGTTGAGACAGTAGATAGAGTGCAAATAAAAACAGAAAGCTGTGATTTGTAAATTCAGGGCAGTATAAAGACAAGACATTGAATGTTTTACTCCTAAAACGTCTTTATTTTTATTTCACTTTTATTATTATTATTATTTATTTATTTTTGGCAAATTTGTGCTCATTCAGAATCTGGTGCTTGCAACACGTTTCAAAAAAGTTGGGAAAGGGGCAGTCTAAGACTTTGAACTTTGTGAACTGTTCCAAAAACATGTTAAATAGGTAATGCAATCATGCTTGTGCATAAAAAGAGCAACCTGGAAAGTCCTTTATGAGCCAGGGTGGGTAAAGACTCGCCACCTTGCCAAAAAATGCATCAACAGATTAAGAATAACATTCCTCAGTGCCAAAGAGGAACTGCACCATCCTGATTGTTATCAACACAAGGTTCAAATGCCAGCATCTGTCATGGTTTGGGGGAGTGTTAGTGCAGTGCTAGTGAAGACACCATTAATGCTGAGGGTGGGGTACATACACATTTTAGAGCATCACTTCTCTGTTGTCAGAAGAAAACTTCGTAACTCCAAAATGGTAACTCTGCAGGAGAAGGAAAAAACAAACTTTACTCTTAATGTAAGTCAATGGAACCAGAAGTTTTTCCAAGTAATTTTGGGCCGTTTCTTTTGGACCATTCTTCATGAAATTTACACACAATATAAAGGACAACAGGCAATTTTAAATCAGGTCAAAAACTGAAAAGCGACAAAAATGGAGATACGAGGTTTTCATCCGACAGCAGCGATATGCTGCCATCTAGACTACGTCTTTTTCAGGGACATATTTACTTGTTTCAGCAAGACAATCCACCTTATGCATGAGTTAGAACAGCATGGCTTCCTAGTAAGAGAATGCTGGTGCTAGACTGGCCTGCCTGCAGTCCAGACCTGTCTCTTATTGAAAAATGTTTACTATAAGGCGCGATATACAACAACCGAGACCCTGGACTGTTGAGCAGCTGAAGTGTTATATCAAGCAAGAATGGAAAGAAATCCACTTTCACAACTACAGCAATCAGTGTCTTCAATTCCCAGACAATTATTAACGTTGTTGAAAGGAAAGGACAAGTAACACAGTAGTAAACATGCTCCTGTCCCAACTTTTTTGGAAGAGGTTGCAGGCATCAAATTTACAATAAGTATACGTACACAAAAACATTAAAGTTAATTAATATCTTTATTCTGTTTTCAACTGAATACAAGTCTTGGTAATTAGTTTGTATGTTATCTGCTTTTTTCCTGACACTTAAATATTACTAACTTGTACTTAATGGCCATTTTGACTGGAAATGAAATAAGTGAGGTGGTCGCTGGCATTTATACAGTGCTGTACAAGGATCTATGCTCTTGCGTGAAGACACCGTTATAGCATCTGAACTCGTAGACCGTAGACTTCACTACATCTGCCTTGACCTGCAGCTTTGTTGCTAGTGTGCCAGTCAGTCTCATGACTGTTACATACCGATATGAATACCTGAACAGGTACATACAAGCACCATCAGACCATCAGTCAAACAGGATTCTCTGTGGCCTACGGTTATAACCACACATTTGTTCTAATCAGCTGAATGGGTTTCTAAAGAAGTTAAAAGTTGAGATGTATTGTTGTGAATTAATAAGTCATAAACAGATCTGCCAGATTTTATTATTAATGGCCGTCTGTGAGGAAAGTAGGCTGCATCAGCAACTTCTGTTTTTTGTTTCTCCCTTCCAACTTTGTGAACTGTTCCAAAAACATGTTAAATAGGTAATGCAATCATGCTTGTCTGTAAAAAGAGCAACCTGGAAAGTCCTTTATGAGCCAGGGTGGGTAAAGACTCGCCACCTTGCCAAAAAATGCATCAACAGCTTAAGAATAACATTCCTCAGTGCCAAAGAGGAACTGGACCGTCCTGATTGTTATCAACACAAAGTTCAAATGCCAGCATCCGTCATGGTTTGGGGGAGTGTTAGTGCCAATGATACGGGTAACGTGCACATCTGTGAAGACACCATTAATGCTGAGGGTGGGGTACATACACCTTTTAGAGCAACGTTTCTCTGTTGTCAGAAGAAAACTTTGTAACTCCAAAATGATAACTCTACAGGAGAAGGAAGTTTTTATGAGATTATGAGATTGTTATTATGAGTTTTATGAGATTATTAAATCTCATAAAAACTAAATATTGTGATGCATTACAATTACAAGTCTAAGAACAGGCCAATTAGACTTAGGCTACATAAAAATCGTCTCCTTCACTGAAAATACACTTTTACCGAAAAGTTTAATATTTTCACAAAATGTTTGTACAAAGTTCTGCAATATCTATTCAATGCCCAAGTGCATACCTTGAACACTACATGCACTGAAAGGGAATTTAAGAGATTTTTCAAACTTGCTGCAAAATTTTATCATTAAACTGTAAACAAAGTCATTCAGAGTGATTTGATATGAAACGGTTCATTGCAGAGTGAAGAAAAACTGGCCTAGGTTCCTCTACAGTGGTGGTAATGGGAACCAGAGGTCAGTGTTTACAACTGAAACATTTTATTTACTATCCAAAACCACCAGTGAACCTACAGGTGTGTTATAAGTTTTTATATGTATTGTTGATATTTTTAATCATGGTAAACTAGTGATAAATCTGGAAAATAAAAGTTTTCTATGGGACTACTTTGCCTTACAACGCCCTGTATGTACCTCTCCGCCATGGATTAATTCAAAATTGTGTTTTAGGCCAAAACTTTATCTCAAAACTACCGTAAAACAACGCATTGGCACATTAGTAACCACTCTATGTAATAACCTTCTTTGAGGGAGCTTTAAGAAGCACTAAACTCTCCAGACGTTTGGTTCCTATCAGCACCACTGTGAACAACTCTAGTAGGACGCATTTCACATCAAACCAACGTGAATTACTTATCTTAACTATTTAATTATGTGGATTTTTTTTACACATCAGTAGAATTTAAACTCGCTTTTTTATCTTTATTTTTATCTGCGTTCATGTCAATCAGCGCTGCACTGTTGTCATAGGTAGCGTATAACAAACATCACCTTCACTTAGTTCCGTTTACGAAAATACCGATAGTGACTTCTCATTTTAGGACCGTGGAAAAGGACGGTGCATATGGAATCATACCATTAGTGCGCCAGAGGTGATTCACTCCCCCCTGTTTGTTTGTTTGTGATAAACATCCTCCACAAATTGGAAAAGCAAATATGTTTTGGTCACTTGAAGGGAAATTTCTACGATACTGTTGAATAATATCAAATGACGGGAACGTCAAAGTCATTTACCGGTTGCTCTTGCTTCGTGTGACTCCCCTCTGAACTGAGTTGGTTTGCGCCGTTGCTGTGCTCTGCTCCTCCCTGGACACCGTTGCGATCAGTCGGGGATTTGAGGAGCGGCGAGAGAGGAGAGCTCTTCACTCAGCTGGCTGACAGGCTGGAGTTGTCCGAAATAATTAATTGTAAGAACAACCCTGTCGTGTGAATACGCGGACGGGAGCTTCTTCAAGATACACAAAGTACCAGGACCGTGAAGAACAAGCCAGCCGACCGTTAACGGTGTCTTTTCAGCGAGGTGGCGGTGGGTATGTCTCTCGCAGCTAGCCGTGTTTACACATTAGCTAGCTAGCGACTAAACTAGCTGGCCAGCTAATTAGTTAGCGAGCTACTCAACCGGGTTTGAAGCACAAAGAAAAAAATACCATGCCAAGAAATTAAGACACCCTTCTGCACCCACAGAGGCTTGTCTTAACTTCTCTGTAGTTAGTCGTCAATGACATACAGCGGGTATGACGATAAGGATAAAGCGCAGATGTGTCGGCGAGCTTGTGGATAGAGGAGCAGGTCTCATAGCTGACGTTGGCTGCCTAACCAACCCGTGTAACGTTAAATGATATCTATGCGGTTCAAGCACAGCCCCAGTTCTGGTTAGAAATTCTGTTCATTCTTTCCACTCGATGCTGACAGTCTTTGCCGAGTGACTTTTTCAGCACTTCGTGCGAGCTGGCCAACATAAGCGCTTCCTGGATTTTGTCATCCCATATAGTAAAAATGAAAGTGATAAGAGTCATGGATAGATTTGATCTGCTCTGTCGATACTCCTACGTCTTGGTTCCTCCTTTTTGCCTTCCTTGTCAGCAAGCCAGCTGAAGTTTTGTGGTGTATAAGTGGGAGAATCTGTCAGTTTTGGGTTTGGCTTCTTAAGAAGTCTTAAGATTCTGAATGTTTTTAGCTTTGAATGTACGTTGCAACACACCACAACTTTGTTTTTTGTGTCTCTTCTGCACCTTTTTTAACAGAACATCCCCAAGAACTGGAAGCAGAACCTCTAAAGAACCCAAAGGAGTAAGACTGGGGCTCAGACTGAAGAAGCTGTCGGAACATTTTTAGCAGAACGTTGCCTCCAACATAAATCTAGCGAAACACTGCTATTGCTTTCAGGTATCTGAATCCTGCATGTAGTGGCCCCACCATACATGCAAATGGCTTGTTGTCTGAAGGACGAGCTCCTGTGTTCCATCTGCCTGAGTATTTACCAAGACCCGGTGAGTTTCGGTTGCGAGCACTACTTCTGCCGAAAGTGCATCACAGAGCATTGGAACAGACAGGAGCACCACGGGACACGAGACTGTCCTGAGTGCAGGAGGACCTTCACAGACCCACTTCTCTCGCCAAGCCTCAAGCTCTCCAACATCGTGGAGAGGTACTCAGCTTTCCCGCTGGACGCCATCCTCAATGCCCAGAGGAGCTCCTACCCGTGCAAGGACCACGAGAAGGTCAAGCTCTTCTGCCTCAGCGACAAGAGCCTGGTTTGCTTCTTCTGCGACGAGCCTGCCTTACACGAGCAGCACCAGGTGACCACCATCGATGAAGCCTATGAGGAAATACAGGTCAGTTCTCCTCCTCCGCAAAGATAATTATCACTGAAAAAGCAGTACCAATGTGAGGGCTAGTTTTGTTATGCCATTCAGCTGGCATGTTTAGTGGATGTGGAAAGATCGTGAGTGACCAAGGTCTTCAGAGTAGGCTAGACACACTCCCAGAATCAAAATTGAGCCACGTATAACACGATTGTCAGAGATTCTGGGTTCCAGGGTTACTGGGGGAAAAAAAAGCAGCTGTTCAATTCAGCTTCTTCTCTGTCAATATACTGTTTCCATGATACAGCAGAGGTGGAGCGTTGAATTACTTTCTTGTAAGGTAAGAAAATGATGTCAGAAATTCAGTCAACTTTTATAATTTTACTCCAAGCCACCATAGAAAAGGGTGTTGTTGGGTTAAGTACGGCTCTCACTGGATTGATTAATTGATTCATTCAAGCATTCATTCATGCATTCATTTATTTAGGCCTCTATTTGATTTTAAACCCAGTGTGGAAGTAGCCAACAAAGCAAGTTCCTCCCATGTACATTCAGGCAGGCGTAGGCCTAAACCTCTATTAGTTACTGACCACACAGCATTGCTGTTTCCTTAGCATGTTCAAAGGAAATGCAGTAGTTTACACTCAAATAAAAAAGACGCTTCGGGATCTCTGTAAAGAGAGGACACATGAGTTCAGCTTGTGTACTCCAAGGTAATACTTTTACAGGGAGTGATACGTCATCTATGACGATATACCGGTATTGATGTCACACAAAAATATGACTTATAGTTTTATTGATGAGTAACTAAAATGGTTAACTGCAGTGATTTTTACTGGTTGCTTCAGGTTATTTTGAAAAAAACGAAATATATAGTAAGTTTTCACTAAATTCTGTTTGGTTAATAATTATTGTTTATAATGCTGTTCCCTTTGGTGTCATTTTAAGAGAAGCAGAACAGAAGAAAACATCACAACCAAATCAAGCTATGCAAGGTTTGTAAAACATTATTTAAGCACAGAGTTGCAGAACTCAGGATAGGCCTGTTGCAATCATAACTCTTAGCTGGTGATGAATTGCCATATAAATAATTACAATTAAAGGGGAACTCCCACTGATTTTGTAAAATTTCCAGAGTCAGAATTGTTCACCGTTATAGTACTAGGAACCAGATGTCTGACGGACTTAATGGCTCTAAAAGCTACATCCTGTTAAGTTATTACACAAAACTGTTATGAATGCACGGCTTGATACCTGAGACATTGCTTTGTGATAGTTTTGTTATAAAGTTTTGACCCAAACGTATTTTTAGTATAAGTCTTTACTCCAGGATTAGCCACGGCTGTTTAACACAGCTAATGCCAGCGATGGCTTTTGTTTGCAGTTTATTTTTACAGTTTTCTTACCTAATTTGGAAGATGGTAGATGATGCGGAGGACTTCACAGAGGTCTGTTTCCAAAATACTGTAGATTATTATTATAATTATTATTTTACCATTATCAGCGTGACATGCAAAAACTTACAAGACACACGTAAGTTCACTGGTCATTTTGGATACCAGATAAAATGGTGATATTTGTAATATACACATGGACGTCTGGTTCCTAGTGCTACAATGGCGAAACAATTTTGACTCTGTAAACTTCTGTAGAAAGGCACATTTCCCACCAAACTACTCTGAATGATTTTGTTTACATCTAAACCATTAAATGATTGATTCATTTTGGACAATCGATGGAGTTCCCTTTTATTATGAAAGTACAAGCCAAATTGGCTGATTCCTTTTAGATATTCATACTGACTAGCTCCCTGGTGATGTACACAGCTCGAGCTCAGTTAAACAACCATCACTCACCACAGCTCTCTGAAGGTGTTATAGAACCATTCAGGAGTATTGCTGTTCTTTGTAAAACCCAAGAAAACACACTTAATTCACATTTTGTTTGCTGCATCCTAAACATGTAATTACTATCAGGCCCTCATGTAATAATTATGAAAGACTTAACTCTGGAACAGGTACACCAACTTTATCAATGCTAACTTATCATTTGGTGCAGTGACACCATAATGGAAGATAATGTTGATACTAGGAACACAGTATCAGTCATGGGCTGGAGGTTAGGGAACCAGCATTGTGACCGGAAGGTCGCTGGTTTGATCCCCTGAGCTGACAGTACGTGTGAAAAAAGGCCCTTAAGCAAGGCACCTAACCCCCAACTGCTCTCCGGGTGCTGTGGATAGGGCTGCCCACCACTCTGGGCAGGTGTGCTCACTGCCCCCTAGTGTGTATGTGGTGTTTCACTGCACGGATGGGTTAAATGCGGAGGTGAAATATCCCCAGTGTGGGACTAATAAGGGTCACTTAATCTTAACTTAATCATAATCTTAATACTGATGGGGGGGCTTCTGAAATCATCTCACGGAAGAGTGTTCAAGTTACGACATTACATACATTGATTTTAAAATAAAGGCAATACATTTGCAAAATGCTAAGGCTCCTACTACTGGCTCTGGCATCTAGAGTATGACGTTATCACTTGACAGCAACATTATGTATGTTTTTTCCAAAAAAATCTCAATTTTTCCAAGGAAAAGACCACATAACTGTTAGACTTAGTTTGTTTGCTTCCAGCTTGAAGCATGATAAGAGGTATGATAAGAAATCTTGGGCTCTTATGGGCAACACTAACATTTTGTATGCTATGTCCTTATGTAAGGTTTTGTCCTTTAACTTATGTTTCTCTTGTTAGAGAATTGAGCTCCTAGTAAAAGAAATGAGGCTTCTCAGAATCGCTGTTTCCAGTGGAGGCAGCATGTGCCTCAGGCTCTTTGACTCATATAACTAATATGCATAGGCAGGGTTTGGAATTGCTTTTTAGGCTGATCATCTCTGCTGTTTTTATTACACTGCCAGCAAATGATGCAACTTCCTTTACAGTATATGAAATGCATACATCACTACAGCCGTGCGGAATATAACCTGATTCGTCTAATGCGGATTCTCGTTGCTTTGGCTGTTCCTGAGAATATTCACACTCACTTTATTGGAACTAGCTGTGATGGAAAGAATTCTGATGAGTAGGGTCAGAGGGACTGGCATAACATAAAATTAAATCATCATGACCTAATTTGGAACACGAACACGCTGTGGCAGTGGAAATGATCAGTATAGAGAGAGAGAGAGGTTGGATGAAATCTGGAAACAGGATGTTTTGAGCTGTGCAAGCAAAGTGCTTCTGAAGCTGTTGGAGGTGAACCAAGTGATATTCAAATTTTAAGGAGTTTGAAGCAGCATTTTTATTCACAGGGATTTCTGAGTGGTGTGTGTGTGTGTGTGTGTGTGTGTGTGTGTGTGTGTGTGTGTGTGTGTGTAGATGAGTTTCTGATCCCTCACATCTCCTAGCGTTCACATGACGTCGTAGAAGAAATTGTTGTGTGCGGCAGATGTGACTGCACACGACTGACGGTGGCATGCAGGGCATGTAAATGTTGCCGTGGCGTTAGCATTACTGGAATAGCAGTAGCGTTCATGCCTGTGTGCGGAACGTTGACGTTTGTCGTTATTTTGTTTTAAAATAATTGAACACGTGCTAACATTTCAGTTTGTTAAAGTTCAGGTTTCTGTTATACACGAACATGTTACGCCTTCAAGCATTGCCATCGTACGTCTACCATCATATTAATATAATCTGTGTGGTGTATCTGTGCCGTCTGGCAATTAAAGTGGTCAAAACCGTACTTTAAAAATGCATTAGAAACATTTACAGGGTCATTTTTGTTTCTACTTTCTTTTGTTAATCCTTGTGTGGTGTTGATGTGTTTGTTACTCAGTGGTCTGGTGGACACACCGCATTATTGTTTTTTAGGTCAATACAGCCATAACAATTTATGTAAAAATACCAGATGTTTAAAATATCACAAGTGTGCAGCACAGGGTTCTCCTTTAGCAGCTGTAGCCAGTCAGCAGCCTGTCCATGTTGCCCACCCTCACACACACACACACATACAAACACATACACACACAGACACACACACACACTATCAGCAGGCCATGTAGGAGGAGAACAGAGTGGAGGACACAGCACCTCCACACTTTTATTCCCCGCTGGTTCACCCAACACCACATGTGTAATATAAATGTGTGGGGGGTGAACAGAGTGAAGACACTGAAAATGGGTTATTTTATATGTTCTTCAGAAAAAATGAGCAGAAGCCAAAGAATCTGGGGTTGAAATAATAATAAATCACATCATTTTTTCTTTTGGTTAAAAGTGAAAACAGGTCCTACAGACCTGAACACCACATAAGGGTTAAGGAACATAACAGGACTGTCGTACACTGTTGCATACAACCAATCAGCATACAAATTACTAACACGTACTAGGATAGGAGTAGACTAGGGAATATATAGCTGTGAAATCAAAATCTTTAAACCGCTTTTGTCAGTTGGCTGACAAACCAATAAAATGGTCCAAAAATCTCATTATTTTCTTCTCTTTAACAGAAGTTTTGTAGGTATGAGTTTCTGTTCCAACAGCAGGGATATATTGTTCAGTAGTGTCATGTTGTTTCGTTCATGCTCTCATTTTTCTTTTAAACTGGACGTGCAGTTTTGAACTTCATGTCAGGCAAATCTCCCTACAAGCTTGTTCTTTAATCTCTCATTAGCACTTTCCAAGTGCCCAACTTTGACAGCAAACAACACCAGGCCCAAATCGCACGTCTGCCATGCAAAATGGAAGTGTGAAATATGTCCGAACGCGTGTAACCTCGATGAAGAATTAATTGGAGCAACATGCCACAGTTGTCAGATAATTTGCAGCGCTCTCTTTGGAGACCCACTCTAAAGGGAGATTTATGGAGCACTTGTTTCCTTTCCCCTGCTTTTGAGACGCTCAAGCCAGGGGACTGGGCTCTTTTACAGCACTTCAGAGGGCTCAAAGGTAGGCACTGAGGGCCTTCATCAGAAACAAACATTCCCCATGAGGAACCGGGCACACGCTAATGCCAAGTGTGTACTTTAAACCAC